CCTTGATAATATCGCTGCTGGGCTCAGAGACACAAACAAACAAGTCCTGGCAGGCTGCTGGCTCTGGAGATCCAAGTTCCCTGGCAGTTGAGCACACCTGGACCTGGCTGCCTCATGCCTGCAGAATGGCTCATCCACTGTGGCCTGGGCCCTGGGCTTCATGCTGGAGAGGGGTGGAGTGGAGCCCTGAGCTCCAGTGAGTGTTTGACCCACTGGAAGAGTCTGTTAAAATGCAGATTCTTGCAAACCTCTGCAATCTACCACCACCACTCCCCACCCCAGATTCTGACAGGTAAATGTGAGGTGGAATCTGTATTGTGGAATACACTCCTCTATTATTCTGAAATAGCTAGTTCACAAACCAGTCTCAGCTTCTATTATACTGAGGAATCTGTACAATTGTCAAGTAGAAAGGACCCTTAATTAGAATCCTGCTAGAAAACTGAGAACCAGAGAGGGTTGCCCTGTAGCAAGACCCTAGCAGGGCTGAAGCCTAAGCCTACATCTCTTGCCTCCTAACCTAGTGTTTCCCTTTTTAAGCCCATCAGGAAGTAGCCATGGAGACTGTCTCCAGTCCTCACAAGCTGGACACTACTATGGGTGAGGCAACCTCTTTGAGGTGGAGTGGGGCTGACTTGACATGGTTGCAGGGCTCTGGAGCATCCCCACTACCTCTAGAGGGGCTTCTTCTTGAGCCAGGGAGCTGAGGCAGAAGGACGGTAAGTTCAAGGCCAGTCACAGCTTATAGCAGCCAGTCTGCCACTAACCATGTTACCACTGCAATTTAGAGTAAGAGTTTTGCCCTCTGCACTCCCATTTGTCCCTTATACGTCCCTTCCAAAGGAATGTTCACAGCAGGCTGTCCTAGGAAGGCAAGTCCCTCCTGCATGGGTGTACTGAGTCCCATGGCCTAAGGAGACCTTAGAAGTCTAGATGAACCTTCAAGAGTGTGAAGGCTCTCATCCTCACCACTAGTCATGTAAGGCCTGGGGCCTGAATGCCTGGTAAGAGACATGATGGATTAATTTCTGCAGAGGAAATCTTGTCCTGATGTCCAGTGACTACACTGTGGCACATGGCACCTCAGGTATCTGTGGAAGTCAATATTTAATGACATCTCAGGATACCAAAGAGTTCAGCTGGGTATGGTGGTGCATACCTGTAACTCCAACACTTGGGAGGCTAAGGCAAAAGAATGGTGAGTGTGAGGCCAGCTCTGGTCTACAAAGTGAGATGCTGTCTCAAAAAGAAAAGAGAGAGAGATTCCCAAATCGTGCAAACCCTAGGAGGCAGAAAATTAAGAAATTAACACAATGAAGTATATAGCATGGAACAAACCAGATTCCAGGAAAGACCCACATCTGATTGATAACAAAGATGCTAGGTCCCAAAACTGTATGATTCCATTTATATGAAGCTCAATCACTGGCGAAAGCAGTCTGTAGTGAAAGAAATCAGAACAGCGGTGGCTCTGGTGGGGGGGTGACAGTGTGGACCAGAAGCAGGCTTGAGAGAACTCATCAGGGGGCTAGAAGGGGCTTGTACCTTCACCTGAAAATGTACCAAGTATGAGCTTAAGATTTGTGACCTTACGTAAGTAATCTCCCCCCCTGAACCTCTGGTTTTTCATAGGCAAAATGGAGCCCCTACCCTCCTCCTGAAATTTCCAGTGCGTAAAGGGTCAGTGCATGGATTCAGCAGTTGAAAACTGTTCATGGTAAAAGATCAAGGCCTGTAATCCAAGCTACTCAGGAGGCAAAGGTAAGAGAATCAGGGTCCAAGGCCTCCCCTTAGACTGTCTGAAAAACAAACTAAAAAGCAAAATGGTGTAGGGTATAGTTCAAGTGGAGGAGTGCTTGCCAAGCAAGTGCAAGGTCCTGAGTTGAATCCTCAGAACTTCCCTTTCCCCTCCAAAAAAAAGGAGGACAAGGAAGAAATAACAGGGCCTGACAACAATAAAGAAAATACCAATGACCAGCCACCCTTTGGTGTGCACACACACCATGTCCTGTGCTAAGCACTGATGTGTGTTAGCTCACACAGTCTTTCCAACTTCTCTTAAAAGTTCAGTACCAGGAGATGTAAAAATGTTCCTATGAAATGGATATGGACGCTAGAGAGAGAAGAGTCCCTTCGGACAGCACCTGGAGTACTGGGCAAAGCCTCTTGATCAGTACTCCAGCTTTACAGCACAGTTACCGATGTGGCCATCAGCCAGGTGGCTCTCAGTTCCACTGCAACTCCACATGGAGCTCTGGGAGAAAGATGAAGAGGTGGCGGAGAAAGGACTTTGGAGTTGAGCAGACCTGGATTCCAATCCTGGCTCTGTCTTTGCTTCCTATGTGATGTAGGGTGAGTTATTTAACCTCCCTGAGCCTCTACTTCCTCATAGGGTTAACACATACTTTACAAATATGTTGTAAGAGTAGAGATTGTATGTGTCACATACTTGCTTATAACAAGTATTGGGTTTTTTTGTTTTTTAATTTATTTACTTATTGCTTTACTGGGCATTGAACTCAGGGCCTTGTGTTTGCTAGGCAGTTACTCTACCACTTGAGCCATTCCTCCAGCCCCAACAAGTATTGTTATTGTTGTTATTCCCAACTAACTGCTATCTGCATGCTCTATTCTGCATGTCCACAGAAAGCAACCAACACTCCTCCTCCCCCTGCCTGGTAGAAGCCAACTCAGGGAGTGAGGCAGGTGTATTTACTCCTTCACTAACCTAAGGATATCTACCAAGGTGCACCTGCCCAGCAGCTGACTTTATCTGCATACACTGTAAGAGGGTTGGCAACAGGACAAAGGAGCCCAGCCTCAGGGGCACACCCTGCCCAGAGTCTACTGCCTACCTGCACCCCAGCCAGCCTCCTCCCAGGTGCCTTGCTGGGAACAAGATGCCCAGGACATTAGAGCCTGTGTTTCTATGTTTGCACCTGTCTTGGAAAATCAAAGCATCATCCTGGCCTTAGCTCACTAGATCCCATGAGATGAATAGTAGGGGCTCAGGAGGTTACCAAACTTAAGTTCACCACAGCTGGTCCACAGAAGACTACACCAGTAACCTGGCAGGGAGAGACCTCTGGACTTGCTCCTGATGAGCAGGCCAAGGTCCTGCCCCCTTCTAAGGATGTTCAGAAGAAGCCAGAGGTGACCTCCCAGCCCAGCCCAGCTCTGCCCCACCAGAGCCAGAAACTTTGTAATCCACCAGCCCTGTCCCTGCACGCCCCTGCCAGGAGCCATGTCAGAAGCCCCCCAGGTGCTCTGCAGACCTCAGGACGTCTGCTTTTGCTCTCTGAGCTCTTCTCTCTATAAATGGAGGGCTAAATTATCGTCTTTCTCATTTTTTTCCCTCCAGGCAGCAGATCTCCTCCAGGAAACCCAATGTGCAGCTCAAGGGAGGCTGGGCCCTGAGACCAGGAAGCCACTCCCACACACCTCAAGCCCATCGAATGGGTTCTTAGAGAGTATCAGACAACAGCAAGTCCCAAAGGCCTGAGCTAGCTGCAGCTGAACCTTTCCCAGGCACAGTCCAACAGCATCTCAGCACAACCTGCTACAGCCCCCCTTCCAGGACCAAACAGAAGTGGTGGAATCAGGAGGGCTGGGTTTGATCCAAGCTGGACCAAACAGAAGTGGTGGAATCAGGAGGGCTGGGTTTGATCCAAGCTCTATCCACTGTGTGACCTTAAGCAAGTTACCTTCCCTCTCTAAGCCTCTAATTCTCCATGTGCAAACTGGAGACAGTAAGACTTCCTTCATTGGTTTATTGTGGACAAAAAGGCCTAAAACAGGGAGTTGGGGCATTCAGTAAATGTTAGTGGTAACAGGAAACAAAGCAGGAAAGAACAGGACCTAAGATGACAACAATGAAAGTAGAAATCATCCAGCTGCCCCTGTGGCTGGTACTCCTGGGCCAGTGCATGACTAACTCCTTTACTCCTCACAGCCCCTCCTACAGGCAGATACCATCCCGATCCCCATCTACAGAGGTGCAGTCATCAGATGCCCTTGCCATTCCCACAGCCCTGCCCTGCTTGTGCTCATTGCTGAGCCCTGGGGAGTGAGCTTTCTTCTCCAGGATCACACGCTCATCTTCATGAGTAGCCTGGTGCAGGTGAATAGAACAAGCATTACCTCTATGGGGTCTGGTCCCTTCTAATCTTTCCTCTCACCATTGGAGGAGTCGTCATGTCAGTGCACTTGATCCTTTATGTCAGAACCTTTCAGAGCCTCCCCAGTACCACTGGGGACACACCCAAGACCTTTACCATCTGCCCTACTCCCCAAGGCACCTGCTCCACCTGCCAGACTTCACCTCTCCCTGCCTTTCCCTCCCTTGAAGTGCTCACTCATGCCACTGGAGGCACTTAGTTGGTGTCATCAGGCCCTAGGATTGGGTCTGGCTGCCCCTCTGCATGTCTACACCTAGCGTGTGCAGGGACAACAGCAATGATGAGTGTGGTTGAAAAGGTACAATTCGCTCCCTTATGGGAGAGCCTGTGGTGTCAATGAAGATGGGGTACAGGCCCCACCAGCAGGCCAGTTATCCCTGAGACGAGGTGATGGGAAGTGAGGACATAGCTCTGCCCCTTCCCTTTGCTCTGAGAGGTGAATTCAGGTGGTGGCTATTGTTCCCTTTGGTCCTGGGAGGGGAGGGTGAGTCCCCAGAGAGGCAGAAGTGCTGAGTCCTGTTCTGCAGTGGCTCCATGAGGGTCAGCCAGGAGAGAAGCTAGGCAGGAGCTGTGGGGCAGGGTCTGGTGTGTCCCATCCCCTTGAGCAAGAGTGGGGCTCAGCATGTCCTTGTCCCCTGTGTGGGAGGGCAGGGTCAGCCACCAGAGTGCTCTTCCAGCTTGATGCAGGGCTCTCCAGACAGCCCACCACATCTAAAGACAGTCAGGTCAGACCCCAGTCTCCACCTGCACATGCAACCCTTGCCAGGCATCCCTGGCCAAGCCATGGTCCCTCTGCACAGCAGCCCTGAGCCCTCCACTCACCTGATTGACATCAATCTTATTCCTCTCCATGTAGTCCCTGTCGTTGACCTGCCCACCCTCCACAAACTCCATCAGCAGGACCCGCTTGGTGGACAACTCCCAGTAGATTCTGGGGACCTAAAGTAGAAAAGGGCAGGTGACAGGTTAGGGGAGACTGGGCTCAGGGGCAGGAACACAGAGAGACAGGTGCTGCTTCCCAGTAGACAGTACCAGGAAAGGGAGAGCTGGGAGAAAGACTGCAGGCAGGCAGATCCTTTAGAGGCCCTCCTGTGAGGGCAGAAGAGTGGCGTCCCTGCCTTCCTTGAGGCCTTCTGCAGTCAAAACTAAAATTGGGACTTGGGAGGGAAACATGAAATGCCGCCCACCTAGGCAGTGGTGTTAAAAGCTACTTCCCATCCCATCATGGGCCCTCACACCATCCTAACCCCACTTTAGTGTTTACATCTGGGAAACAGATGTATGTACTGAGCGATGAATGAATTCGTAGTGTGTAATAAATTTTGCTTCTCATGTCAGTTTCCTCCAAACCCCCTGTGGGGATCAATGCTGAATCCCAATCCTCCTCTTCCCCATTGCTGACAAAACTGAGCACTTTCCATGCCTGCCCTACAGAAGGTATGGCTGGCTAACACCATTCTGGCCCATTAAGCATAAGTAAGAGTTTGCTAGGGAATCTGGGAAGGTTTCCATTTTCTTCATAAAAAGGGAAGTTTGATGACACTATGCTACCTTCCCTTTCTCCTCCTACCTTGAAAGTGAATTTGATTCCTGTAGACGCAGCAGCCATCTTGCAACCGTGAGGGGAAAAATCTAAGAAAATCAGAGGCCAGCCCTGACAATGTCAAAGTACTAAATAGTATCAACAGGTAACTTGTATGGGAAGAAAAGTAAATATTTGTTTAGGACCTTGTAGATGGGGCTTTCAGTTATCCGCACACACATCATGCCAACTGATTCATCCCAACCCCTTCTGATTCTGCGAATACCTAAAAGTCAAAAAGAGGACAGGTTCCCCAGAAATCTGTCAGAACCACAGGCTGCCATGAGCCACAAGAGTGGTTGGCACCATCGGAATCACCATAGCCAGGAAGCTTCAGCAGGCTGTTTCCTCACAGCACTGATGAGCTACTTCCCCTTACAAATAAAAACACAAGGGCAGCCGATTCATGGGTTTTGGAGACTCAGATCTCCCCTCCCCTTTACCCCAAAACCCATCAGGCAATGACACAGCAGCCCTTAAGTCCACAGACCTACTTTCTGTCCCAAGTTCTGCGGGCAACTCCTGTGCTGCAGACCACGCAGTTAACTCCTCAGGCCTCAGGATCCCTCACTGGCAGGGAGCGCTGTCCCTGCCCCACCTCAGAAAGGAGAGGCCCTGCAGGCAAGTGGGCCATGCTTGAGCACACATATGGGAGACACTGCATTTGAAACCCCAAATCCAAATGCAATTACGGTTTTATCTTGTTTGTCACTTCCCTGCAGTTTTTGCCATTTGGAAATCCGGGCCTATAGAGAAATCTGTGCCCCTCTGCTACTTTGAACATAAAATTTAAGATTTCCCAGATATTTTTTAAAAAGTATTGTTTAAAAATGAGTGCCTAGACCAGGTGTGGTGGTATCAACCTGTAATCCCAGCTACTTGAGAGGCACAGGTAGGGGGATCCAGTCTGAGGATAGCTGGGGCAAAAGCATGAGCCCCCTATATGAAAAAGTAAAAGCAGGAGGGCTGGGGTGTAGCTGAAGTAGTACACAAGTGCACACTTGTTGTTGTTGCTGTCATTGCTCAGTTTGCAGATGAAAGGGACATTACTTGGAGGCTGAGGTCTTCACTGGGTTTGCTTAGGGACCTGAGCTTGGTTTGGCAGTGGTCCTGGGGCTCTGAAGATGGAGGTCAGACTCCAGCAGGGCCTTCTGGGACACTTGGAGATTCAGCCAGCAGAGAGCCACAAGTGGAACAAGAGCCCATGGCTTCAGAGTCTCCAGGCTGGCCAGGCTGGGGAGGAAGGGTGTCCCCTCCCACATCTTTGCTCCCCAATGTGACCATTCCAGCCTGACAACAGAATGTACCCTCTGCTTCAGCTACTCAGGACTGAAACGACTAAAATATCAGGCTTCGGAAACGGCATGTTTGTCCACACGAGGAGGACCACAGGATGAAATCACACGGAAACAACTACGAAATGCCAAACTGCTCCCTGCTCTTTGGGAAAAGTAACTTGTCCCTGAATCACCATAGGGCAAGAGGTTTTGTCTCACCATTGTCCCTCTCTCTGCCTCTTCCACTCAGAAAGGGAAAATGAAAGCAGAAAATTGGAAAGAGGCAATCAACAAAACAAACAAAACAAAATGCTGAGAGGCTCATGGGCAGGCCAAACCTGGCCTTCGGAACCCAGCATCAGCAGCCTATCTACTTGCCACACAGTAGAGGCCCTAACTGTGGGCACCATCTGTTCTCACATTGAAGCCATCCTGACCCCAAGAAGCAGGTTGTGGAGAGAGCTCCCCAAGTCCCTGGATGACCTGAGCCTCCCAGTGGGGCCTGACCTTTTGCTTCTAACTTTCCCCTATGCTCATCTCAGCCAGTGCCCAAGACCCAGGTTGCCACCCACCTACAAGCAGGGGCCCAAATGAGCCAGTGCAGACCTGGAGAAGGATGCAGGGCTGATACTCAACATAGGACAGTCATCAGCCTCTGCTGGAAAACAGCAGCTGCCCTGTGACAGCACATAGTGATTCAGAGGGGTTCTGACCCCTACCAGGACTGAGTCAATGCTCTGGACGGCTCACCATGATGTGGATCCTTCCCACGAATGTCACAAAGACAGAGGGGCGGCAGGCTCTGGGCCAAGCTGCATCCTTTCACAGCCTGCTTCTGCCCCTTACTGGGTAACCCTGAAAAATGATCTGATCTCCTGACTTCAGTTTCCCCATGGATGATACAGGATTAAGAATGGCATCTCTCCTGTGGAACTGTTGTAAGGATTAAAAAATAAACACATATTAAATCACTTTTAAAAGCCTCTAACATGGCATATGCATGTAAAATGTCAGCTGTTAATTACTACAGACAAGTACATGATCATCTTTGAGAGTCTAGAGAGCTATGACACGTACCCAAAAGCACACACTTTTTGTGGGGCTTCCTCACAGTCTCTGCAGTCCCAGGCTTCTGACCTCACATGAAGAAACCCTGGCATGGGCCTGCCAGTGAGAAGGCCTTTCCACACACATGAGCACACTCATCTCTTTTGTCCCAAACACTGTATGTGGAAGGCTTCTTCCTTCCTGCCTCATTTCCAGATGTCCCCCAGCTCAGCCACAAACCCCACCACTTGTCCTGGCCTCTCTCTGCAGTACACACATTCTGATGCCAGTTCCATGATCACCCCAGTCTTGCCCAGGCATCCTGGCTGCCCCTTTGCCTTCCTCTGGTCTCCCTAACACCACATTCACATTCAATAGTCAGAGGCTCAGAGATGAGTCCCGAAGGGCCAGGTTACCAAACCCCACATAAGCACTGGAAGAGGCCTCACACACCAGAGGAAAACTCTTTGCTGAGGCTTAATTACACACAGATGTTGTGATGGGGTGCCAGCATGCAAAAGCAATCTATCTCCAGTTTTAAGAGCTGAACTGGGTTCACAGCACAAAATTCACTTCCCACTTGCAATGGGTTTAGGTAAAATTAATTACTTGGGAGCCTTTCTTCCACCACTGCCTTAGGAATGGTGTATGGGTTTTGGTGGCAGCAGGTCAAATACATACATTATTTATTTATCTGTTTGGCATGCTCATTTCAAAAATTTGTCATTATTATTATAACGTGTCTTGGTCTGGCAGTTGCTAGTTGGCCCCAGCCAGGGGATGATTTAGCTGTTTCCACAGAAACAGTGGAGGAGATGGCTCTGCATGTCTGGCTTATGGTTCTGGCTCTAAGAGGTACCCCTGCCAGGTAAAAGGCTGCAGAGAATCCTAAGATGAGCACCAGACTTGGAGTCAGGAAGCCTGGGCCATATCCCAAGCACCTCTACTCAAGGACTCATCTGTGACATGGGATAAGGGCTGTTGGTGGCATCTGCATTGTGTCTAATGCACTAGCACCAGACACAAAAGAAACAGTCAATAAAGACTGTCTGCCACTCTGTAGAGTGGACACTTTCTGGAATTCCTCTGAACTCTGTCTTTCCTCTTTGGAATCTACCAAAACAAAGGTAAGTGTCTATCATAGTGCAAAACACTCTTATATAACAATGCACTTAATTGGCCTTGGTGGTACATGCCTGTAATAACAGCATGTGGAAGTCTGAGGCAGGAGATTTGAAAATTTGAGGTCAGCCTAGCCTAAAAAGCAAGTTTGAGGCCAGCCTGGGCTACATGTTGATACCCAACCTCAAAAAAAAAAAAATTTGTGTATTTGTTCCCCATTTAGATGGGAGATTTTCCGGGGCAAGGATCAACCTCCAGCTCCTAGAACAGCAATAGGAAATGCTCAATAAATAAGGATAGAGGAATGGACACACAAGTGGAAGAGTATCTGGAGCCTACAGCATTATGATTAGGTTCCCACTGAACTGGTGGTCTGAGCTTCAAGGCTGGTGCAGTGCTGCCAGATCTAGTCTGCACTTCCAGATGTACACGCACAAGAGTCTACACACACAATTATTATAAAGGCCAGTGAAAAGCCAGGCAGGCATCCTGGGAGACTGGAGATAGAGTTGATCCCCAACACATTCAAAGAGCTAAACTTCTCCTGTGGCCACACCTTCCACTAAAATAAGTGCATCAAAACATGGCACCAGTCACGGCAGCTGCCCTTCCCACAACCCAAGCTTCTGGATTTTCAGGTGCTTAGTACAGACATCCTCTCTAATCTGGATAGCAGAAATATAAACACTGCCTCTACTTCTCACCACATCTCCAAAAGTCACATCGACACTTTAGTTCAGAACAACAGAGCCACTCTCCCCAAGACTGTTCACTCTGGAGCTAGCACCTGGGGTTCCAAAGGATTCTGTGACTGCTCCCATCTTCTCCAGGCCTCTACTGAAAAGAAAGGGCTGGTCTCTCCCAGAGTTGAAGGCCCAGCTACGTACAGACTACCAGGAAGGCTCTCCATCCTGCACCATCACAAAAAAGGGGGCCCCTAGAAAATGGGTAAAATAGGATAAAATAGTTGGAAGAGTGGTGTTGGCATGCATCTCACTCACTCCAACCCCCATGTGCCCTGTGTGACATCAGGACAGTCCTCAAAGTCCAGCTCCAGAGCCAGCTCCTTCACAGATGAACCGCTTCTGGGTCCTTCAGAGCACTTCCAGTGGAACCTCTCAGGGTACACATGCAGATGTGACCTTGTACCATTTGACAGCGTTTCCCACAGTCAGCATCTTCCATGACCTAGGAGAGTTCTGCTGTAGTACTGTTTTGAAAACAAAACTTGCTCCAATGCAATTGGTAGATTAGGTAGTGGTTTGATCATAAGGCAAATGTTGTATTTGCTTTACCTGCTAGAAACACCAAAAAAAAAAAAAAAAACTGCATCCCACTTAACTGTGCCACATGGGACTATACCACACACACACACACACACACACACACACACACCCCTCTCAACAGCACACATGTGGGTGAGGCACTTCTTGTTCCATGGCAGAGGACCCTCCTTCCACCACCTTACGGCAGCTCACAATTGGCAACCCTTCTGATGCCCATATCCACACTCAAGGTAAAGGACCCCGTGAATCGTGATCGTACATATTTCTTAGCCATTTGGCATGTGTAGAACTCTGCTGATCTTGTCAGTGCCTATCTTCTTTTCTTTTCTGAGTCACTGATGTAGTCTTTGACTGTTGCACCCCTACACCCATTTCCCCATAAGTCTTGTGGTTTCTCTTGTGCAAATCTGTACATTGTGCTGATTTCTAGGAGTACATATTGTGTTATAACAAAACTACATGTATATTAAATGAGCTAATGTATGTGCTCGAAACAGGGCCAGAGTACAGTAGTATTAGCTATCATCATCATCACCCCATGCTTCATGGAGGAAGAGACCATGATGCATAGGCCATTGGGTAGTGCTTAGTATCTTACAATTGTGTATTATGAAATAAACATCTGCTCAATTGACTGACAGGTCAACCATCACACTAGAAGTTGTCTTCAAGGGCTTGAATATGTATCACCAGTGACAAACCATTCATCTTCAGTAAGAAAACTCAGGAAGGAGACAACTCAACTTACATCCTGGAAGCAGGGATATTCAGAGCAGAATCACCCCCATCCCTGCAGTCTTTCCCCCACACTGCCATGCCCGCCACTGCCCAGCCCCTCATACCTTTAAGAAGTCAAAGTGCTTGAGCATTTGGGCCACTTTTTCAGCATTCCTCCCCTCATTGAGGAAATCCAGCTCCAGAGGTAGATTCTTCTTGGCCTCATCCACCAACCACATAAACTCAAACTCTGGGAATAGCTGCTTCACAGCCAGGACGAGCACCTGAAATCCACCAAGCACCCCATCAGTCAGCCCATGGTACCCACCAAGGGAGGTACATTTTCTACTCTCTGCCCAGGACTCCCTTGGAGTAAAGGTGGTGGGGGGAACCTGCTCCCTGGCTTCCATCTCTGCAATCCACATCAAGTCCAAGATGGTGAGAGGTCTACAGCCCCAGCATTAACCTTGACAATGATTGTCTGAGCACTCTCCATGTGACCAGCAATGGGCTAAAGCACTTATTACTCCACTTAATCCCCACAACACCTTTGAGAGGCATATGGGTAGGCACTTGTCATGCCCATTTTACAAGCAAGGAAACTGGGGCTTCAAGAGTTGGTATGATTTTGCCCAATGAGGAAGTAGTGGAGCCAGAATTCCACTAGGGTCCCCAAAGCCTGTGCTTATGAGCACCTTGGTGATCTGTAACTGTTTCTGCTCCAGGATTCATTCTTCACCATCTGCAAAGCACAGAGAGCGTGCTTTCAGTGCAGCTTTCATTTTATTTCTTAAGCTGAGTGACTGGTACTTGAGTACCTATAAAATTATTCAAAAATCCAAAATCAGAAACACTCTAAAATCTGAAACTTTTGAATGCTGTCATGACACAAGTGGAAAATTCCACACCTGACCTTGTATGACATGTCACAGACACACTAAAAATATTGTATAAAATTACCTTCAGGCTACGTGTAAAGTTCATATGACACCCATAAATGCATTTTGTGTTTAGATTTGTATACCATCCCCAAGACACCTCATTACTCATATGCAAAATTCCAAAATCCAAAAATGTCAGAAACACTCCTGGTCCCAAGTATTTCAGATAAGGGATACTGGTATTATTTCCATACTATCTGTATAAAATAAGATCTTTCATTAAAAAAATAAATACTTGGAGTAAGGGAACAGACAAGCTGAACAAGACAAAGAGGAAAAGATGAGGTTTTCTCCTGCCCAGGTAGAAAGCTTGGATTTTCGGCAACTGGGGCCACTGTGGATTCTTGAGTGATGGAGTGATGAGTGGGTGTAGAAGACTTGGCTGGCATTCGGGTGTTGATTTGGTGATGTGAGTTAAACATCACCGGCAGAGAACAAGAGCCGGTGAGATGCGTAAATCATGCCACAGCGCCCCCCAGGGGCAAGAACTTGGTACCCAGGCTCCCCCTTCCCCCCCCCCCCAGGCCCTGAATTTGAGATGGTTTCACAAGTTCACAGATGCTGCCTTTGTGGGCGGTGAGTGAAGATGCCACGGGGAACACAGTGGGTGTTCTGGGATTCCAGGAGGGCAACCCTCCTACTAGAAGCCCTCCATGTGTTCACCTCTGAGCCTCGGAGCCACAGACTGACCATCCCAGCCATTCCTAATGTAGATCACAGCCCCAGTTCTCCCAGAACACCTCCCCTATGCAGCTCATGGCGATGAACAAGAACTGCAAACCCCTGGGCTGTAGCTATCAAAAGACCACCCCAACGGAGGGGGTGAACATGTTCAAAGTAGGCTAAACATATGTATGTAATTATCTTAATGAAATCCCCCATATTATTAATGTAAGCTAATTCAAAAATAAAATTAAATTAAAGTTAAAAAAAAAAAAAAAAAAGACCTTCCCCTTCCAGCCTTTCCAGAAAGACTCGCTGAGCCAACTAGAGGCCTGTCCTGGTCTCCGAGTTAGGAATGTGTGATTCCTGCACACTGAGTGAGGAATGTGTGATGAGAAAAATGAAAGCAAACCCTTAGCCCCAAAGTGTTTGCTGCTTTGTTTTGAAACCCTGTGTCTGAGGTGATGTACCAGACACCATTCTAAAAGAATCATCACACAGGTCAATTTCTAACAAAACCTTTTCTAATTGCATTAGGCTACTTCTAATTTCTTTTCAGTCTTATATAGTCTCTCATGGGCTAGACCTATGACCGTAAGCCAATTGATTTGGTTTGGTTTGTTTCTGTTTCTGTCTTCTTGTGAAACAAGAAGGGAGAGGTGGCAAGAGCAAGGCCAGGGCCACATACACAAGATCCAGGCACCTGGACAAGGCAGCTTCCAGGTATCGCATTTGGTCAGGTATTCACAGATGGCCCTTGGCTGCCCCCAAAGTGGGGGCCAAGCAGGCACACAGGAAATAGAAGTGACTCACCCAGGCCGAGGGCACACAGGTCATTGATGGCACCTGAATTCCTTTCTCTATGCTCCAAGTTCCAGAAGAAAAAGCTCTATGGCCTTTTCCTCTAGCCTATACACCAAGGGCTTCGCCACAGTACAGTTTCATTCATTCAACCAACATTTTACCTCTAGGCAGTTACCTTGGCCCAAACCTGGGTATACACAGGAGGCTACCTATAGCTTAAAGACAGCTATACCTGGGTAGGGAGCTCCTGACCCTGCTGTAATTCTTCATCACTTCTCATATGGTCATTGTGAAATTTTTAATCATCATTAATACCCAAACACTGAAAGTCATTTTAAAGATTTTTCTGCTACTAATCAATTATATAATTAGTTATTACTAATATCATTTGTTATTATTAATACCTCATGTCATTAGCAGTCATATATTTTATTAATATTCATTGCTTTTAACTAACTGATAAACTAACCCATAATCCAAAAAAACTTTACAGCACTCATAAAACTGGATTCTAAAGTATTCTGCGGGTCATGCCTGTAAAACCCCAGCTATGTGGAAGGCAGAGATTAAGAAGATGGCAGTTCAAAGCCAGGCTGGACAAAACTCTGCAAGATACCATCTCAGCCAACAAACAGGGCAAAGTGGAACATGTCTGTAGTCCCGACAAGGCAGGAGGTGGAGATAGGAGGATTGTGATCGAAGGCCAGTCCAGGCAAAAATGTGAGATCCTATCCAAAAAATAACTAAAGCAAAAAAAGGGCTTAGGGGCATGGCTCAAGTTGCAGACTGCCTACATAGCAAGTGTGAAGCCCTGAGTTCAAATCACAGTAACATCCCTCCCACCAAAAAAAGCATTCTGTGGGTTGAAGTCCACTTCAATGGTTACAAAAGTCCCCTCTTTACCCAAGGAGAGTACTTTCCAAGACCTCAGTGAAAGCCTGAAACTCAGCTATATTCCTGCAACTGAACCCAGCAGACACTGTGCTGTTTATTATACATAAAGACCTATACAGTAAACCCGGCTTATTCACAGATTTATTATACACGGTTTTGACCAAGCAATGTCAAAAAACAACAAATTCTTTTAAAAATCAAAAGAAAGCCAGGCACCAGTGGCTCACACTTACAATCCTAGCTACTCAGGAGGCAGAGATCAGGAGTTTATGGTTCAAGACCAGCCCAGGCAAATAGTTGATGAGACCCTATCTCGAAAAAACCCAACACAAAAAAGGGCTGGAGGAGTGGCTTGAGTAGAAGAGTGTCTGCCTAGCAAGCATGACGCCCCAAATTCAAACCCCAGTACCACCAAAAATAAATAAATGCCAAAAGAATTGTCAAAGTTTTTAAAGTCCCATGCACACATTACACAGCTCAGCTGACGGCTCTCAGTCACTCCTACATTGTCATCAGTTGTGATTAAATCATTGTGTGGTCTGCTGAGTGCTTCCCTGCCCTTAACTGTGTGAAAATCTGCTTCCCAAAAAGCAAATAGTGCCCCAAAAGTGAGGTAAAAGCTGTAGTAATCCTCCCAAGCCAAAAAGAGAATGTAATATGCTTAACTAAAGCGTTAAAGTGAAAATTTGAGATTTGTTGAAAGGCAGCATGTCTTTATCGAAGCTGGTCACCATTATGGGGAAGATGAATCAAGCATCTGCAGTACAACACTGAACTAAGCAGTGATGGCTTTTTCTCAATGATGGCCTCTTTGGAACCATAAACCTGCAGATACCAAGGGTCTACTGTAATTTATAAATTCGGCATGGAAAGAGATTAACAAAGATAACTAATTAAATAGAACAATTATAGGAAAATACTGTAATAAAAGTTACATGAATATGGCCTCTTTCTCTCTCAAAATACTTTTGTTCTGAACTAACTACTATTGATTCTACCAATCCATGAGCATGGGAGATCGCTCCACTTTCTATAGTCTTCCTCAATCTCTTTCTTCAAAAGTATATAGTTTTCCTTGTAGAGGTCTTTAACATCTTTTGTTAGGGTTACACCTAGGTATTTGATTTTTTTTGAGGCTATTGTAAATGGAATTGTTTACATATATTCTTTTTCCGTTTGCTCATTGTTAGTGTATAGAAATGCTAATGATTTTTCTATGTTGATTTTATATCCTGCTACCTTGCTATAGCTATTGATGATGTCTAGAAGCTGCTGAGTAGAGTTTTTTGGGGTTTGTCCTTTAAAATGAGAGTTTTGTTTCAATGGAAGTCAGCAGTTCTTACTTTTGTAGCAGGTCAGCATCCCCTACCAGAAGCAGCCAATTCGAAAATTTGATACAAGCTAGGAAGCCCAGAAAACATACAAACATACAGGGGGTTCACCAACAACTTGACAGTCACTGGATGAGGAAGGGAGTCAAGGTCAGGGTCATCTGGTCCAAGGAGCTGAGATTTTTCTTGACTGAGGAGAATATAAAAAACTGCTACACTTCACCTTCTGTTTTCCTTCTGTTCCCTTCTTAAGAGCCTGCCCTAAATAGATTTGTTTCAGTTTCTTTTTAACAACAGATGCAATCAACTAAAGCAGGTGTTGTTATCAGTTTGCCTTTTTGATTTTGCTCCCAAAATGCATCTTCTCCATAAAATTCTCCCATCAGCCAATGTTTTCCTCAGTGCCTAGCACATACTCAATACTCACAGATGTTTATTGGGTACTCACATGAATGAGTGAATAAATAAATAAATGAACACATGAATATTTCAAAGGGTTGGCTTCTCTGAGACAATCACATGCTCACATTTGTGTTATCCAGACGATGGAGTTTTTATTTCTGAGATTTTTGATGGCAAGGGAGATTACCTCTAAATTTTCAGGAACCACAGTTTCAGAATCACTGAGAATTCTCTACTGAATCTGGAAAC